CCGGAGTTAAACCACGACAATTGGTGCACTACGGAGGAATCTGGCAATGCGGAGAAGATAAAACAATTCAGCTCTTGTAAGTTCAGGAAAAATGCCTATCTACACGATGAAAAAAAAAAAACTTTCCCAGTTACTGACGATTCCCTGCAGCCACCTTTGAAGTTAGAGGTGCTATCTAAGTTGAGGTGTCTGCTGGTCTGTGCAGCGGTAGCTCTGAACGTAACCGTCCACCCAGCAGCCATGCCACTGTATGCCCATCGGAACTTACAAAAGAAACATTTGGGAAAAAAATTTGAAAATAAAATCTTCCTGAAGTCCCTACAGAAGTAGATGGCACTTTACCGGATTTCTAGCTCTCCTGTACCCAGATGGCACTGGAGAGGGGCAGAAGCACAGGGCAGGACACCATCCCCTGTGTCACCAAGTCAGAAACCCTTAGCGGGACACCTGTGTCACCAAGTCAGAAACCCTTAAATACACTGCAGATTTTGTTTCATCAGCAGCCAAAAGATTATCTAGTTTCCCCTCTCGCTCTCGCCAACATCCTGTCATCATCTGAACCAATTAGGCTTATTTAAACATCTGAACTCGCAGTTCAGAGCTCTGAGGATATCAGCTAGAAGTAAAGGAACAAGAATAAAGCGTAAATGTAGCTCTAGATTAATAAACATCGCAATCCTCCTCGCAGCAGCAGTTCAAATCCCAGAAACTGCTGGTATGAAGAACGACAGCAGCGCACACTTACTTTGGCAGCTAGAACCTTGCAGTCAATTCACAGGAGGAAAGGGAAGACACTCATTAAGATAATAATGGGGAAGTTCAAGGTCTGGCGGCTGGGCTCACAGTTGGCTGAGGCAAGAAAGGAATGCTTTATATCCCACCACACCACACCACCTCCTCCTGGATCCACAGCTGCCCTCCTCAGCCGGCAGCTTCATAAAGCTCGCCGGATCCCGTGGCCGGTGCTGCTTTTCCTGGCACACACCCAGAACAGCATCGAGCAAGTCTGGCCCCCAAGACCAGCTTAATGGCGCACATCAAAGTTAAAATCAGAATTGTGTTACATGACGTGACAAGGGGTATTTATAGGCAGAGCCTTTCCAAATTTTGGGTTGCATTCCAGAAGACAGCACAGAGACTACTGTGCCCTTACCGAAATCTACCTTTCCTTAGCTCCTCTCCCTTTGCAGGCAACTGGAAATAGGCTACTGCCAGCACAGCACGTTGGAGTGAAGCATGCAAGAAGCCATAGAAGCACATGGAGGAGGCACAACACTCTAAAGAACACATAAAGCATCTGTGCTCCTCCTCACAGGAATATTCTTTCAAATCCCTGAACATCACGGCCTTGAAGACAGCCGCTTAGCCAGTCACCCGAAGGACACCTCCGTTTGCAAGATCTGCCCTCAAGCCCAGCAGCAGGTCTGGGGAGAAAGAAAGGGTAAAGAGATGATGGTCTTCAGTTCCTTCCACTGCAAGCTGTTTGTATTTACTGCCACTGAGCACGCACACGGACAGATCCTCCTCTACTACTGTGGTTCTTCCAACACATGATGGGTTGTTAAACCACAGTGACTGGAGTGTGTGACTCAACCTTGCATGGGCAGAAGCCACCAGACTCCAGCAACTTCCAGGCTCCCCCTCTGTGCCTCACGAGGCTCTTTGGCACTTGGCCTACTGCCCCTCCACCTTTTGGTTACTGCGTCCCCAGTGAACTCATTAAAAAAACTATTAAAAACAATGCCACTCCATGGGTCACACAACATCCAGCACACGAGGTGCGATTCCCCAGTTGTCCTTGCTTCCATCAACTGACCAAGGCCAGCAGGCAATTTGTCTTTCCACCTTCTCCTGGTCTCACATCCATTCTTTTGTAAGTAAACTTTAATACAACTTCTGAAAAAGCAGAGCACTACAAAGCGATGGACATTGTCACCAAGAAATGACAGACTCGTCAACAGTTGGGGACTGGGTACTTGAAGTTTAGGAAGTCAAAGGCCATTTTTTACCTTTTCCAGTTCTCCAGCAATCACCGAGATGGAGGAGGCACAGCCAATGATTAAAAGACAGCTCTAACATTTATTTCTATTCTGAGAGTCTACTGAAGCCTGAAAACCAGTGGCATTTGGTAACTATTTCCAAATATAACTGTTGGTTTTGGACTGTCATCATTCCAGTGAAAGCTCTCTCAACCTAATCTCTAGTATGTTCTTAGTAAGTGAAATGAAGGAGACTTTGAACTAAGAAAAAATGTACTGTGTTACGTATTTGTCTGTGTTGTTAAACTCAACATTCCTCCACACCCTTGAGATGCGATGCAAATTCCAAGTTTCATCCAAAACTATCATTAGCCCATCCTGTCAGTACGGTAGTTAAGGACTGTCAGGGAACAGCCATCTGGGCAGAGTACCTAACTACACTGGGATACATTCAAGATATTGTTCCAAGCACAATTTCTTCCCCCAAGTGTAACTTAGATCTTTAAACACTGTTTGCACACAGGGCTTTCTGTGGCTTGCCATTTAATGTAGCTTTCTGCATCATTCTCTTAATGGTGAGCAAGTGGTTAAGGCACATGAATATGATGCTTTCTGACCATCTGGTTTCCCAGGTCTGGAATTAATTTATTTTTCTAACATGCCTTAACCAAAGGAAATTAGAAAAGTTGCCGTTACGGTTCCATCTAATCAACAGCAGTCCTAGTCAGAAACGTAATTAGGTCAAAGGTTCGCAGCGGTGGGGAAAAGCAGCGTGTCCATCAGTTGGGTATCTGTCACTGATAAGATAAAAGAGCCACCACAACAGCAACATATGGGGTTACGAATATGTAAAGCGTGTGTTGGGAAGGAAGCAAAGCATTAACTACACTAATAAAGCAAATCGGATGCTCTTTTTTTCCCCCCCACTGAGCAGCAATTTCACCAGGAACTGTTTATGAGACTCTCTTAAGTCTAACAATTTGCAGTAAAAAGTATTTCAGGTTTAGTATGGAAACCAAGAAGCAGAGAGTACTTTTCTTATGCCGCTGCTGTCACTACTTCAAACTTCTCATCTTCCCCCTGCTCGCCCCAGCAAACAATATTTTGAAGTCTGTCCTCCTCTAAACTGAGGGTGAGAATACAAAAACCTTGATATAAAATAAGAGGGATGAGTTGAACCCCTGCCCCCAGATTGCTTATTTTTAAGAGTGGCTGTCACATCTCCCTTCTCAACATAAAGAGCCATCTTGCTAATCTTCTCAGGTTTACTACTAAACGTGGATTTCTAAGAAATCACCCCTCTAAAGAGTTCAAGTTGTGCCAGCTCAAAGGAAATAAAACATCTACTCCAGATACAACGGTTTATGGCACATGGCTTTCTCAAACCTCCAAAGCTACGTGTTCCAGCTGCCCGCCTCTGGTCCAATACACAGTCTGGATTCAGTTTCCAGTCTGCCCTGTCTCCTAAGCTACAGGTAACTGCTTCAAAGTCAAAGGACACGCCGGTGCACGTGAAATAACGTGAACAAACTGCCTCATGCCACGGGAGGGATTACAGCAAACTCATGTGGTTCAGCATCTCCTAAGATCCTCAGACACTTGAACACGCTCTTACTCACTCCTTTTGTTAGGCCATGCTCAAAAAATCAGACTGGGCTTTTCAGACTTTTTTTACAGGAGAAGAAGCAGCGAGCAGAGACAAGGACAGAAGATGTGCCGAGAAGGCTCCTGGAAGAGACGAGAGGAAACGCTAGGAATTTTAGACACGATACTCATTACCTTTGTCACTAGAGTAAGGTGCGTGGACATTGTTGCTTGGAACAGAGACGTTCTGATGCTGTGGCTGGTTCACTGTTTCTAAAAAGGAAACGAGGTTCTCGTGGTGCGACAGTTCTTCTGCCACAGGGAAGGAAACGATATTCCAATTCAGCTGAGTATCCCCCTCTGTCAGCGCCCGGAAAAGGGAAGGAATTGGTTCATGCAACTCCTCCACAGTGCTCTTGGATGTCGGAGGGGTGTCACTGTAATTGCGAGGATTGCACATACCTGCAGGGGAATGAAATGGTGAGTTACACGGATCTCCCTAAAGTCCCCCCCACCTGAAACAGATGGGAATATTTAGAAAATTTAAATTGCCCTTTTCTTTTCGCTAAGCAGAACAGAGCCCTTTCATATATATCCCACTCTCAGCTCAACAGCACAAGCGCCACCAAATACAGCAGGGCGAACCTCCCATAAGGGCAGGTTTCAGATCCCTGCAGACTTCCACAAAACACGCCTGTGACTTGTGAGGTCCAAGTGAAAAGAAAAACCTCACCTGAGCAGCACTTTGCTTCCCTTTTTATGCAAGCATTACCGTTCAGCCTATGAGCAGTCCAGCGGAAGCTTTGCTTCCCCTGGGAGAAGAGACAAAGCACACTATAACCGATACTAGCGTAAATCCGGAATGAAAGCCTGCGGCTGAATGGAGATAGTATCTTGACAAGTCCTGGGGTACAGGAAACTTTAGATCACAATTCAAGTATCTGATCTCATCCGCTGCAGCACTGCACCAGATCTTTTTAGTCGTCTGCCAGAGAGGCAGAGACCTATCAGGAGGGAGCAAGGGTCTGAATTTACCTGCTTAGAGACAGCTGAGATGAACCTCATTTTGCTACTTAGTTGGAGGGGTCACTACAGGCAAAACCCTTATTTCCACGCTACCTCTTCCTTATCTTCCAATGTCTTTTGAGGTACCTTTTTTGAAAGCTTCTAACCTTTGTTCTCTTCGCCACTTCCTACAGAAGGCTTCTGTGAGGTGCCGTGCAGGTGCCGGTTTTTCATTAACCATTTAAACACTAACATTTATTACTAGCAATGAGACTGAAGGGTATCTTGATTTAATCTGAACAGTGAAACAACCAAAACTAAAAAGGAAAGTTGTATCTGTGTAGGTATTTAAACCCAGAAGCTATAAAACACTATTAGAAGTCACCTGGCAAGAGACAGACAAATCCATTTTCCACATGTACATCTGGATATCATTTTGGGTAGTTTCACAGACCGTTTTAGACAGCTACAGTGGCAAAGCACACCAATCCCGTATCAAAATCCCGTATCAAAGCGATATGGGACACAAACATTCAAAGTCTACCTGCCCCACACCACCACAGAAACATCTCCTGGCCCTGCAGATACAGGAAAACGACAGCTTCTGAAATTGTGTTTAACCAGAGTCTTATACAAACCCACAAACTTTTAAGTCTAAGTAGATGCATTTCCATAATGAAAAAAACAGAGTGAAGTTTGTCCATGACACTTAGCATGAGATCTGGCCAATCTTAAGCAAGTGGTTAGCATGACCAGCATTTAATAATAGGAACAACACAACACAAGATAGTCTGCTCCTATAAAAAAGGTGAGTCAAGTACTGGGGTGGGGAGGAAGCCTCTCCTCTAAGCAACATCAGGTCACACTGAAAAATGATTCCACTTAGGCAAACCTCCTACCGTAAACAGTTATTTTCCTACGCCTCTCAACTAGCTTTGCTCTTCACAGACATTCCTGGACTCACTGCTTTAATCAAAAATTTCTGTCACTGCATTATCACCTTTTAGTAAGCACTTGGAATATTCACTACAGAACTGTATTAAAGGATGCCCACCTAAAATTTAATTAGGAAGATAACAAACCAGGTAAGACTTCTGAAAATACACACCAAGAGATGTACACTTTAATTGATCTCCTTCTATTAATGCTGTGAAATGGAAAGCGGTGAGCCTTTCTGGAGCCCCACTCCATCAGGCTGGACTCAGAAAATAAATTTCACTGATAAGAAGGACACACAGGAAAAAAAGATTGTTTATCAAATTACTGCAGAATACAGACAGTATGTGTGCACACCAGTCCAGTACGAAAATGTTCTCTTACGATGGTACCAAGAAACCATTGCTCGTAGTTTAACGGGTAGCTGCTCAATCCACAAAGATCCTTCCCTCTTACTATTTTAAAAAATTACTTTAATGGTAAGAATTACAATTTTATAGTAGTTATTATAATACTGTAGCTTTGGTTAAAGCAAAAATAAAAAAGTTTACCTCACAAGCAACTGGTAAAGAACAAACATGTCTACATTACGGCTTTGGAAGCCAACGATTTAAGATAAAATTTGATAACAGAATTTGAAACCTAACTATGCCATTATGCTAAAGGTAGGTCTCCTGCAACTGAAAGAAACACAAATGTAAATCAACTGTAACGAGCCACACAATAATAATCTCAATTTCAGTATTATTCCTTCTTTTACCTCCTCCTCTTGCCCATCCCTTACTGCATATTGTTACTGGAAATCCAAGTTCCCTTCCAGCACCACAGTTCTCAATGGAGTTTTTAGCTAGCCCCCAGAGTTGTACACAGTGCCAATCCGCCTTTCTTGGGTGAGAAGATGCAGAAACGGGCTATTGAAATGATGGAAGCAGACAAGTCTTTACAGGAGGGACTAGAAGGGCTTAACCCACAAAGCTTAGAAAAACAGAGGAAAGAAGAACCTGTTGTTGTTCTCCCTCCTCCAGTGTCTTCATCCCTGTCAGAGCAGGGAGAGAAGATCCACACAAAACACAGTGACAACTGACCAGGGTGAAAACACTGGGCCATGCACATTTACTACTTGTCCCAAGGATTCACAAAGAACTCAGACCTAAATTGTCCCGATGGGTTTTCTGTCAATCCACTTCAGTTAGAAACCCCCATACCGCATCCAGCCCCATGAAGCAGGTGCTGCGTAATTTCCTCCAGGTGCCCATTCAAAAAGGAGTTTGTGTTGTAGAGGCAAAATTAGAGTCAGTTACAGTGACATTAACCACGCAAAACCTGGACTATCGCCACCTCCCCACTCCCCAGAGCAGACACAGCCTTCCAATGTTTGGTTCCCCACAGTAATTTATTCAGTGCCCACAGAGTGAGCTGTAGGATGTTTAAAGCACAGATTCTGTCCCGATGTTCTACTTCTGTTATGAGGCTGTGAGCTCAGCGTGTGGCAGGAGGAAGCAATTTAAAAAAAAAAAAGAAAGCCCCAAACAAACGCCAACTTACCAACGCAGTCGCAGCACTCATCCCAAAGTGTGCCCAGGCAGAGCATGCATTCCTTACAGCAGGAGCAGTTCCCTTCCCCAGGGCGGCACTGGCACAGCTCCTGCAAACAACAGAAACTCATTACGCCCCAGATGTAAAAACGCTAACGCGGCACGGCCATTCCTCCTCAAGCCGCAACTCAAATTACGGCATTAAAAGAGCTTAGTACACTAATGCAGCGAGTAAACGGTGAAAGAGTTCCAGCCAAAGAACCGAGCTCAGTTTACAAAAGGATCTTTCGAAAGTTCTCTCTTTTCTTTTTTTTTTCCTCAAAGGTGAAGCTCTCAAGACAAATCTGAAGTCGGCAAAGAACCATTTAAAAGAGTAAAAAAAAAAAAAAAAAAATCCTATTTGTGGAAGGGTGCGCGTGCACTTCTGTGCCTGCCCGAATCTACAAGTTCTTTGAATGTTTCTCCCATCACAACAGGAAACTCAGAGAAGGATGGTTCTTTAGATATAAATAGCGCGCACACGTTATAATTTAGCTAAAAAGGGAGTTACTATAAGCAGTACGTGCTTACTCAAGATACGCAACACCTACCATCACACCTATTCCTGGGTTCCAGAAGGAACTTACTTGGGAAAGTCAGCCGGCCACGGGATTTTGTGCGTCTCCGAATGCTCATTACACACCGCTCCCCATTTGCGGTATTAGTGACCAGATTTTTTTTCCCCCCCCCTAGGTCCAGCTGATTCATTTTTGCTATTATGAAAACAACTCTCTCCCCCGCCACCCCCCACCCCCCCTGACTGACACCTTGGGATACTTCCAACACTTCTGGAGCCTCTACAAAGGAAAATGGAAGGCATACACATTTTCCTTTAACGGTTATTAAGCTAGAAAAAACGGCAAAGACATGGAAGCAAAAAGACAAACCTTTCTCTTCATATTACCTAAAGCTGGAGGTGCTGGCTTAGCAATTCTGCTCCACACTTGTGGAGCTCAAAGCATGGAAATAGCCTACATGGATGAAGGAAATCGAAAAACCAGGCGGTCCCTTTCCCTCTGGCTGAAATCCATACTAGCAATTCCAGTTCGGCCAAAAGACTGTGGCTACATGATGATAATATATGGGCTTGAATCACGCCATAGTGCAAAATGCGGACAGTCAAGAAGTCACATTTGGGTGTCCTGTCTGAGGATTTGGTTCTGATGACGTCTGTCTAACTATCACATTACGCACAATGGTTGAGAAAACAAAATCCCGTTACTGCAAATGCTGACCACGGGATCCTTCCCACACCCAGTGTTACTGGAAGAGCCATCGGCAAATCTCTGCTACGCACTGGGCCTGAGTGACGATGACATCCATCCCTGCTCTTTGATGCTGTTCTCCAGAGGCAGGGGAGGGACGCACAGGGGTGTGGTTGGGAGACTCACATGAACAGGAAGGAAGGGCAGGAAGATGGTCTGGCATTAAATTCTCCGAACCTGGAAATTTTCCTAACCTGCAGTCACCACCTGAGGCTCCACACCCGCAAACCACAGCTGGGTCAGGGACACCACTCCTTAGAGGCAGACACACATACCACCCTCCAAGCAGGGCCACGAAGATGCTCAGAGGGCTGGAGCCCCTCTGCTATGGGGACAGGCTGAGAGAGTTGGGCTTGTTCAGCCTGGAGAAGAGAAGGCTCCGGGGAGACCTTATAGCACCTTCCAGTACCTGAAGGGGCTACAAGGAAGCTGGGGGGGACTTTTTACAAGGGCCTGTACAGGACAAGGGGTAACGGGTTTAAATTGGAAGTGGGGAGGTTTAGATTAGATATCAGGAAGAAGTGCCTCACGGAGAGGGTGGTGAGGCACTGGAACAAGTTGCCCAGAGAAGCTGTGGATGCCCCATCCCTGGAAGTGTTCAAGGCCAGGCTGGATGTGGCTTTGAGCAACCTGGTCTAGTGGAAGGTGTCCCTGCCCATGGCAGGGGGGTTGGAACTAGATGGTCTTTAAGGTCCCTTCCAACCCTAACCATTCTGTGATTCTATGAAGTCTTTTTGTAGCGCCTTGGGAAGAAGCCAAGAGGAGCAATGCCACTCTAAGTAATTCTTTGCCTGCTATTGTTAGGAAGTGCCAGGTAGGGAAGAAAGGAGGCGGTTTTACACCAAACCTCAGGAGTGCCTTTGCCAGGCAAGACACAGAGGTGCTCCTGGTCACCTACCCCCAACCCCCCCCCCCCACCTGCAATGCCCACAGCCTGTTAAGTGGCACTGGGATCGCCACTCTCTCGCCCCAACCGCAGTGGGCCCACAGAAGGCACAGGAGTGCATTTCGGAGGGTGAGGCTAGAGCGAGGCCTGGCTGGGTCAGGGCCTAGGAACAGAGAAAATGGAGCTGCAGGGCTCCCAGTTCTGGGCCGAACACACCCCCCAGACCTGCTGCAGACATGCTACCATGTATTAATGTAGTATAAATGCACCCATCTGTTATTTTTCCATTTGCTTCCTCACGGTCACAAATCTTGAAGCCAAAGAAACAACATTCACCAACTACTCCACGTTCTACGTCACGCTGAGCGGTGCTGTCGCCCGCACAGTTTAAACGCGAACTGCTTGCCCCGCTGAGCGACTGAGAGTGAACTCCTGCTCTACAGGCATTTCTGCAACACGCAGTCTTGGTGAGCCTCAGGGGTTTATTTGCAGGGTGGAAAACTACCAAGATATTTACTTTTTCATCCTCAAAGCTTATTCATGTCACCTATTACTATGCTGTTTCCAAGTGAAAGATGAAAAACAGGCTCATTAATAAAATATACAATTTTTTCCACAAGAGGAGATGCCACAAACTTGGAGAGATGACTTATGCGAATGAGTGACGCATTTCTAAAATATTTATCTTACCGTTTGATAAACAGATTGTGTCAGCCTTAAGAATAAAAAGCCTGAATAAAACAACTTTAAAAACAAGTAAAATACTGTTGCCTTGGCCAGAGAATTAGCATCAAAAATACCCTATATATTTGTTCTTCAACAATAAAACTGGGCAAACAACTTTGTACTTACTAAAGACGTTGCAACACCAACAAGCCAGTACGTGGGAGGAGGCAATTCTCCATAAACTATTAAATGTAATGTATGAATCAAAGCCAGAAAATTCACTAAATTTAAGTTGTTTTGGTTTTATAGATTGCACTGTCTGAGTCTAAGAAGAGTATTCTCACTGAATTAAAGGTAACCTTAAATTATGCATTTGCAACGTAATAGAAAAAATATGGCTGAGCTTTGATACGTGTAAGCACTAGCGTGGGTTAGCATCCCTATGCCTACCAGTATGTTAACAGCTTTATTTTTATAGGAAGGGGTTATGAAAAGTGTAATTTTAAATTTTATTTTCTATTTTTATTTTTCACTTTCTTTTCTTCTATTTGGAGGTGATGGAAGAGGGAAGAAAGTGCAACCTAGTCTTGTGCAGAGTTCTCCAGGTACTCCCTTCTCGGGGCGGGGGGAAGGGGG